TCGGTTTTTTGGAAGTCCACCATGAGAAGAGCCGCGTCCTTTTCGCCCAGGTACCGGTTCGTCGACTCAGAGGATATGTCTCTTTCTGCTTCGACGGCTTCCAGGCCTTGCTTGAGTTGTGCGTTCTCTTCCTTCAGTACGACCTCCCCCTTTGCAACTCCTAGCCGAACCTTCTCCAAGGACAGTTGCATGGAAAGCAGGGCTTGCGAACAAGAAAAATAGGAAGTTAGTTTATTGATAAACTAAGGGAAGTCCTCGCCGAGGACAATTCGTTTACCTTGTTCAAGTGCTGGAGCGATGTGCACATCAGGTCTGCATCACTGGAACCTATGAACTGCTGGAATGATTCCGAGATTCTGCACTCTAGCAAAGTGTAGACTATCGGCTCCAGGTACTCCGACAGGTTCCCCAGCGAGTCCAGCACTGGAGTTTCCTTCTTCGCGCTTTCAGCAGGGGTCGTGTCGCCTATCGGTTCCTTACCCAACTTCCTCATGACATCTGGCTGCGACCTCCCGGGTTGATTGCCCTCAGATTCGGTTTCTGACTCTTCGGCCTAAATTTTCCTTCTCTTCTTCTTAGCTCGTTGAGCCATTGACTTTAGCCTCGGGCGAACAGCCGATGGCTGGGAAGCCTTCACAGGTCGGATTGGTACGTCCTCCGAAGGTTGATCCTAAGAAGTTCCAGCCGGTCGCACTAAGGGGCTCGATGTGGCGCCTTCAGCCAGGGGAACAATAGGAGCAGCATCGACCGCCTTGGCGGTCTTTCCCCGCGAAAAATTGAATTGCCTTCGTTGCGGCGGCTCTGACTCCTTCAGAGGCATGGTCGCTACATGCGAGCATCGTTAGCAAAAATAATTCATTGCATGACCAGAAAAGACCCAGTTAGCAAGACTTACGCAATGGGGGCTCTAAGGACGCTCTTGCGTTGAAGAAACCGTATTTTTGCAGATTCGCCGTCGTTACGAGCTTCTTTGTATCGTGACTAGCTTCGGGCAGGAAGCCGAAAGCTACAATCCTATCCGGATCGAAGAGCAGCCCTAAGTCAGTCAACTTGTTAATTACCAGAAAGAAATAGGTCGTTAGGAAAAGGATGCAATTCAAATTTAAAAAATTCGCCAAGGGAAAAGAACCTACTTGGGTCTTGAAAGTGGCAATGGTCGTCGTAACGAAAGAAGAAAAACTTCGTTTCGTAGGCCCCCGTATTGCTAGGGTAACTGTGTATCCCCGCTTCTATAGTAGGTCGCCTGGACAAGTAATAAGAATCCTTGTCCTTGCTCTTTTTCAAGTAATACGAGCAGCCGAGTTCCACCGCGGTTAGCTCACCCAGCCCGTTCTTACGACACGTGATGGAGATGGCAACAGCAATAACATACACATTCGGAGTGAGTTGCATCGACGCAATCCCGAAGTGATCTAGCAACGACCTGACAAAAGGGTGGAAGGGGATCAACCCCCCACCCTTGAAGATCTCCTCAAAGATTGCGGCCATCCTGCTTGACGGGTATCGCGATGAGTGGGTCCTATCGCGGAAAACTTCCATATCGACACCATACTGCTTTGTCACTCTCTCAAGCTCTTCCCCGATAAGTACCGAGTATACCTCAGGAGTGACACTCGAAGGATCCTGCAAGGACGAACTAGTTCCTTCCTCGGATTTGGTCGTTGAGGGGTCCATTCTGCTGGTCTACAAAAGCGACAAGCAGGAGGGTCATTTAGCCATCGTACGTAGTTCCGTACGATGACGTGGAAGGAAACAAACTCCCTAAAACCTAGAGAAAACCCTAACAGCATGATTCGAGCCATCATTCATGGCTCGAACCCGACATAAGCGTCACGTATCCAATGAGTTATCGGAAGACTAACACCATTTACCAACTATGGAGAATAAGAAAACAAAAACAGAGAAAGATTCTTACCTCTTGGAGTAGAAAAATAGCTTCTGCTTCAATTATCGGAAAAACGCTGGTTTGGAAGACAAAGGTTCCAAGCTTGCGAAAATCTCTTGCTCTCTATGAAAAAGACGAGTGTGGTGACATTGCTTGAGAAAGATCTGAGTTTTTATAGCGCATGAAACGACACTTGTTTTTCTCGGAATCAAAACGACGTTTGGGCGGCAAATTTTCTCACCGTTGATCATGACCACGCGTCGCAGATCAGTGAGGAAGAGTGAGCATCACGACTAAAGAAAAATCAAATCTTCATCTTTTCCGTTGAAAAACTCAAGCGACGGTACTCTCTCTCTCTCTCTCAACATTAATTGCGCCCCAATCTGCATTTAATGCTGTGATAAGGGTTATTGTTTCAGCATGTCACACATTTAATGTTCTGATAAAGTGCTACCGTGTCAGCATACAACGTGTTTAATGTGCCTGGCTGGCACTTATCACGCACAGGACACGTTTGTCAGCACAGAGAATGATTCATTAAATGCTTCCATACCTAAAGTACAACAGATAACGCCTGATGAAGTGAGGTCGCCCATCTTTAATAAGCGATGAACATGTGAGGTCATGTTAGCGAAAAGTGCTACCCCCACCTACTTTCAAACAGGTCAGAATCGCCAGAATTTCCAAAAATCATCCAATCGCGGCATGACTTATAGTTTCCAAGGTTCGATCCTCAAACCTTAAAAACTAGGGGACTTCTGTTATGCCTGAAAAATATAGGGCTGACGTAAGGTCCAGTCAGTGTGCAAAAGTCAAAGCATGGGTACACCCACTGTCGAGTCACGTGAGGAAAGGGGCAGCCTGCTTCTGTCAGAACAGTAGGTGCACGCCAGACTAGCCAGAAGCTGTGGTGATCCCACTTGTCCAATCCCTACTCCAAATCGCATAAATCACTCTAGAAGGTGGGCAATGTGACATAAAGAATTATTTGTACACTTAATCCTACCAACTCACAGATTCAGTAATCATTAGCTCAATGTATCCCACTATAAAAAGAGAGCTCCTCTCCTAATCAGGGGATCCGCTCATTTTTACTCTTGATTAGCTACACACTCTCTCTCTCTCTATAATATAGCACTCTCTCTCTCTTGTACTATCATTTATAAGTTAGTCCGCTAACACGACTTGACCCTTATCATTAATATAAACATCAGTGGACGTAGGATTTGCTACCTTAGCATCCAACCACTTTAAAAGCTGTCCCTATTGCATTTACTCTTATATTCCCTTATATTCACGTGTGTCTTCTAGGTCAGCTCAGCATTTCACACGTGCGTTTCGTTGGTGTAAAAATCACGTATCAACAGGTGCAATAATCTGTAAGATTCAGATTATCAAAGATCAAAATAAGGAGTTCTTCAGGAAGATCACGCCATGGCCTCCAATTATTGTTGCAGACATCGATGGTTTTCTTCTTCTTCGTCATCGTGGTTTATTTAGGGTAAAAAAAAGTGGTAATGACTGTTTTGATGCTCTTTCAATTACTTTGAGATAATAAAACTTAGATTATTTATAGCAATTGAATCGAAATTCTAATCCTAAAACCAGTTAGAAATCCTAGTTGAATATGAGTTTGTAATTAACCAATTGATTCCTTTAATTTAAATATATTCCTAGGACAGGAGTTTTTTTGAATATATTTTTCAAATCATAACTGTTGATAGTAATCAAAATGTTAGGGGTCTAATATATTATCAAATTATTTCGGGTATTTTTAAATATTTTCACTGTGCATTAGTCCTTTCACACGGCACACGGATCCGTCCCTCAGTAAAACTCTTCTATTGGTCAAGTTATTTTTCACTTGGATCGCCAAATCAGCCGACAGCAAACTTTCTTCACCGTCGATTATTCTCAAATCTACGGCCTAGATTTGCTCATTCCAAACTCTCAAAAACACAACAAATTTTCAAATTTCCCTCCTCTTCCAAAATTTCTTCCATAAATACTCAATTTCTCCCATTTTTTTTCTTAAGAAACAACCACAAGTCTAAACACAAGTCCAAACACAAAGCCACTCTTTCAATCATCAATCTTTGAAATGGCTCGCACGAAACAAACAGCAAGGAAGTCCACCGGAGGCAAGGCGCCACGTAAGCAGCTGGCCACGAAGGCCGCTCGGAAGTCAGCTCCGGCGACGGGAGGAGTGAAGAAGCCGCACCGTTTCAGGCCGGGAACTGTAGCCTTGAGAGAGATCAGAAAGTACCAGAAGAGCACGGAGCTTTTGATTCGGAAGCTTCCGTTTCAGAGACTAGTAAGAGAAATTGCTCAGGATTTTAAAACCGATTTGAGGTTCCAAAGCAGCGCCGTCGCGGCTCTTCAAGAGGCAGCCGAGGCTTATCTCGTCGGACTCTTTGAGGACACAAATCTCTGTGCAATTCACGCTAAGAGAGTCACTATTATGCCTAAAGATATTCAACTCGCCAGGAGGATCAGAGGCGAGAGAGCTTAATTGTGAAGAAGAAATTTAATGTGTAGTAGATCTGCGTTTTAGGGTTTGAGTTTCACTAGATTCTTGTTCTTATGTTATTTAAGAATTACTTTCTTTCAATATAATTAATTTTTCCGATTAAAAATATGTCCAATTTTGATTAAGAATCTTAAGATCATATCATTATAACTTTTTTGTTTCAACAATTACATAATAAGTTAATTAATGATAAATTTATGTAAATTCATTTTATATTATTTAATAAATGTTGTACGGTTTGGTTTGAGTGTTTTGGATTGAGTAAATGCAAACCGATCTGTTTTAATTTAATTTAATTTTTTTTTAAATTTAGTTTTACATTTTAGTATCTGAAAACCTGACCCAAACTGCATTATTCGGTTTGGGGTTTCGGGTTTGGTATCATACTGTTAAAGATGGATTGAGTGAGCTAAATGGGCCAAGCTAAGCCCAAGTCTTAATGAAAATGTCCGTATAAGCCGTTTGATTCTAAGCAAAAACTATCAAACGGTCGAAATTCGAAATTGAAAATTTTTACCGTTAGCCTCTCAAGGGTTTAACTCGCAAGGCGCTTCAGTGCAGCTCCATACATTCATAAGCGCAATAATATTTTTACACAAACAAGAATATTGAGAAACAGAGCAAATCAAAATCGAAAGAGAAAAGGCGTACAGTGTTAGGAAGGAATTGGAGTTGATCAAGTGAAGTAAATGGAAGCCGAAGGAGAAATCGTGATTCCTAAGAAACCCAGAGGTCTAACTAGTTTCTCTTCGTTTTCTAATTACTGATTGATTGTGCTTGTGTATAATTTCATTCTGTTCTTTATCTTGATTGTTGTTTGATTACTTCTCTATATATTCAATGTGGGTTTTTTAATTTGATTTGTTTTTTCTTCATTAACCAGTTATTATTTCAATTATTTGATATGATCCTTGGGACTCTATGCATGTTTGTTTATGGGTTTTCCTGGATCAAATCAGATGGGTTGATTGATTTAGACTTCTTTTGTTTTTCCTCATTTTGGGTAATTTTCATGTAATTGCAACTGGGTCTTATCTTGACCATATTATTGTTTGTCTCCTTTTGATGATTTTAGTGGGCCTTTATCTGATATCCGTTAAGAGTTAACCTGACAATTTATGTGATCATTTTTGGGTTTTGATTAATTTTCAAAACGGTTTTGTGTTGATTATATATTTGAGAGTGATCCATATGAGTGCGTTCTTGTTCGATTTTTCTTGTGAATCTAATTGATTGAACCAGCTAGCAGTTTCTATTTGAGGATGAAATGCGTTGATATACTGTATTGCTACAACATGGATTATTTCCTTCACTCTCTTTGTGTTTCTTGATCTCAATGATTCTTTTGGACTCAAATTTATCTTTCTTGTTTTCCTTATCTTTGTTGGGGCTTCTTCCTCTGTCTATGTGTTATTGTCTCTGCTGAATATAATCTTTTTGCCTTTTTCCGTTAGGAGGTAAGGTGAAGAATGATCCAGCGAAAGGAAAGAATCGGCAAGTTCTCCGTGATATAGGAAATCTTGATATTCTACAAAATATGGAAGGGAAGATCTCTCGCCCAATTACAAGGTCTATATCTTTCTCTTTTTGTTTGTCCGTGTGTGAGAGTTTACCTAAGTCTTGCTTGGTTGCAGGGGTTTTCATGCACAGCTTTTAGCAAATGCAAAAGTGGAGGCAGAGCAAAATAAGGTAGTAATCTTAAACTATATCTTTTGAAAAAATTTCATGTATGGAATTTATGTAGTGAAAACAATGCCAATTACAATTTTGAACGCTGTTATTTGCAGCTCCTAGTGGTTGATGATGGGGTACCAGCAAGAAGAAAAGGCCAAGCTCTGAAGAAGGCAGCACGAGCTGAAAAGAAGTTATCCGAAGAACCAAAATGTGATGATCTGATTGTGATAAGCTCCGATGAAAAAGAAAAGGATAAAGCAGAAGACAAGCAAAAGAAGTTACCTGAAAAGCTGTTACTTGAAACTTCACTCTCAAACAGACCTACTGAAGAGGGAATCGTCAAACCTTGCGGTGGACAAATTTCAACAGAAATGCCCTCAAGGAATAAAATCAAGGCATTCAGTTCAATTCTTACTGCTCGAAGCAAGGTCGATTTGGATGCTCAATTATCCTTTGAGTTGATTTTCTAGATACTTCAAGAATATATTGATCTTCAATTTGTTGACTTTCAAATCTCGTTTGGTTTAGGCTGCTGGTGGAATTGCCAACAAGTCGAAGGATTTGATAGTGAGCATTGATGCAGCAGATGCTAATGATGGCTTGGCAGTCGTTGAGTATGTTGAAGATATCTACATGTTCTACAAAGAAGTAAAGTTCTTTTTGTACTTCCCCATCTCTTTACTATAGTCATACTCATCTCTCTCTCATAACGCATAGCTTGTTGTCTCAGGATGAGAGTCGAGTGCAAGATTACATGGTCTCGCAGCCTATCAATGAAAGGATGAGAACTATTCTAGTGGGCTGGCTGATAGAAGTTCATGACAGATTTGAACTAACACCTGAAACCCTGTACCTCACTGTAAACATATTTGATCGTTACCTTTCAAAGAAGACAGTGAACAGGGACAAACTTCAGCTAGTTGGCATTAGCTCAATGCTCATTGCATGCAAGTATGAAGAAATCTGGGCTCCAATGGTAGAGTGCTTTTTCTCTTTGTCTATTAGAACTTCTGCTAGTTTCAAAAATTCCTTGTGGAAGTTTTTATTTATAGTGCTTTGTTTTTGCAGGTTAACGATTTTGTATGTATATCAGATTATGCTTACACTGAAGAAGAGGTCCGAGCCATGGAGAAAGAGATTTTGGGGGAATTAGGATGGTATTTAACTGTTCCTACACCTTATGTGTTCCTTGTGCGGTATCTTAAAGCTTCTGTATCACCGAATCAGGAGGTAAATAGCATATTTATCTTGATTACACCATTTTGCAGAATCAGTTTCTGATGTCTTCAGCCTTGATTTGTGTGGTCATGCAGATGGAGAATATGGTATTTTTCCTAGCTGAACTGGGTATCACCCACTATTACACCATAATTTCATACTGCCCATCCATGCTCGCTGCTTCAGCTGTTTACGCTGCACGTTGTACCCTTAACAAGAGACCTTATTGGACTGAAACTCTGAAGCATCACACTGGCTATTGTGAAGAGAACATAAAGTAATGTCCTCTTTTCTTTGATATATTTATGTTTGTAGTGTATATGGCTCTTGCTAATAATGGCGTATAATGTTGGGTTCTAAAATGAACTGTGACATGCTCTAATTTAACAGGAATTGTGCTAAGCTCTTGGTTAGTTTGCACATGAAGGAGGCTGCACAAAATGGGGTTAAGGTAGCAGTTTGTAGGAAATTCTCAAGTCCCAAAAGAGGCTGTGTCTCTCTTTATCCTCCAGCCAAAGATCTTTAATCAATCTTCCATATTGCTCCTTTTTGCATTGAGCATTTTTTGTAAATCACTAATTGCAATTGCAAATGATAGAAGTGAATATTGAATATGGAATGTACCTTTTTATCAAATGAATGCAAGAATGTTTGCTTTCGGTTTAATGTCTTATTTGCTTGTATAGTTTGCAAATAAGTAGTCTTAAGGCTAAATAATCTCAAAACTTTTTATTGTTGTTACCATTATATCGTAGCATTTGAAGGCGGAATAATAATACTTTACAAGAAAGCAGGATGAGGACCTTTTGCCTCCCATGGGGTACCTAAAACGACAAACTCGGTATTATGCAATTACTGTCTTAATTTATGGTGCTCATTATGAGCGCAAACTCTCATCACCTTATCAGTTTCCTCGGGCTCCAGAAGTTATCCCCAGCATCTATTTGTCTACCTCATTGCTCAGTCTCGGAATGACTCTCACAGTTCTGCTGCTGGGACACCATCAGCAAAGATGAGACCTGAAACCAAAATCCAACAAAACTTAGGCTTCTGTACTTAAATGTTTCTACATTCATTTAGGGTAAAATATCAATGACATTGGATGAATGCAAGGTTTTTATGCAACCTGCCCCCCATTAGATACCTATGCAAGTTGTGAACGAAAAAGTTCCTGTTTAAGTAAAGCCGTTCTTGTTCGTTCAGAAATTTTCTTCTTTCCAATTGTTTTGTTTCTAAGAAATTGTCAATTGTGTTAAACAAAACAGATATTTTGATAACACAATTCATTATATCATATTTAAACTACCCATTTTCATTACAATGATCCTTCCATCTTTGTATGTAAGTTTTTTTTTCACTTGCATTTACATATCGTGACCCTTCCTTCCATACGCATTTCACAGAATAAATTAAAGCAGAAATGCATCAACTACTAGTCTACTACTAAGATCATTGTTCTGAGTCTTTGTTGTATAAACTGAGAATGATCACCATATTTTATTGGAACTTGACATTCACAACCACTTGCCCAAATATTTTTGGTTTGAGTAGAAAGTATGCATTTGGGTTTATTTTTAATTAAAGAATCTGAAAGGTGGAACATAAAAATTAATAAAAAAGTATATTCAATACTAAATAAACAAATAATAACAAAGTAGACGCTCTAAAACCACAAACCTTGGTTCCTGCTATAATGGTACCATTGAGAGGATGAGCGACACATGCAGTAACACCTTCTGATAGTGGAATAAACCTGTTTTGCTTTTTGTGCTTGTTTCTCTCAGATAAGCGCTTTGTATCCTCACTAGAAAAAAAAAAAAAATTCAGAGATTACACATAGAAGTGGCTATGAAAAAAAAAAAAAAAAAAATTCAGAGATTACACATAGAAGTGGCTATGCTCTAAAATGCTTAAAAACCATTTCTATTTCAAAAGTTCGTACAAAATTGTAACTGAATAGAAGGCCACAGTCGCTGGAGAATGTGGAAAACATAAGCAAAATATGTACCACCTGTTAGTTCTTAATTCACCCATGAAAATATTTATATTTCGAATATTCTTATATAACCTCCCTTTTTGTGAAATTCACATGCAGTAAAAATCTAAATCAGGTCATTAATCCAATTCACCAGTGAAAGCCCGATGATCATATAATAAAAGAGACATTGCAGGGTGTCTCTTACATGTAGTCCACGTGGCAGGGGGAGCTCGAGTCTGGGTAGAAATCTAAAAGATGAATGCCTTGGTCAGAGGATGATCCAACCACATAGATCTGCATTAAGAGACACCAGAGTAAAAATCAACGAATGTAGAAGGGAGAAACTCAAAAATATCTCCAGCTGAAACCTACTCAATCGGGTATTAATCTTAGAGTTGTGTTTAAACCAAAAGAGAGACATCAAATTATGACAATTCTTGAGCAAATAGTTTCAAATACTGAGAAATACAAAATATCTGAACAATAAATCATGTGGCCCGAAAACAGCAAGGTGTAACAAATCCCACATTGAAAGCGTATTGGGGAGGTCTTGGGCTTATAAATGGGGGGAGTCTCTCCACCTAATAGGTTAGCCTTTGGGTGTGAAACTCCCAGCCCGTGACAAGTGGTATCAAAGCAGACCCAATCGTCTTTCGATGTCCCGTCAAGCGCCCAGCAGGGGCGTCCCGTGTGATTGTGGGTCACAGAGAGTGAGGTGGATGGGTAGGCGGAGGCCACACTGTGACGAGGGCGTCACAGGATTGGGTGGGGAAGAATGTAACAAATCCCACATTGAAGCGTATTGGGGAGGTCTTGGGCTTATAAAGGGGGGAGTCCCTCCACCTAATAGGTTAGCCTTTTGGGTGTGAAACTCCCAGCCCGTGACAAGGGCAGAATAATTAAACGGATTTCTGACAAAAGTAAGATCAATGCCAAGTGTTCCATAATTCCATTCAAACTGGAAAAAGAGATGTTCTCCTTGGTAAATATCCAAATAATAGAAATTTTAAGACAGTCCAAACCCTAATGTCTTAACACATTGCTGACAGCCTTGTATGAACAATCCCACGCAAGCAGTATCCAAAATGTACATAGTTTAATGATGAATAATCAAACCAGGGGAAATGGTAAAAGAAATGAATAAATCTACAGAATTTGTAGGCAGCCACGATGGTTTCCTCGATTGCAATACATCAGGTGAACTGTTGAATTCATCCACTAACTCCAAACCAAAAGGGTCTATTACACAATTATTGAACAAGTTGCCAGTGTTCCAGCTAAAAACGGTGTCATCTGAATGTATGAAACATTACTTACAACCAAGCTGGAGGGGGGCAATGAACATGGGTAACTTGAAAATTATAAATATCCAGAACAACGACCACATCACATGAAAAATTTGGAAACAAGTAGATTTATTGCATGAGCGTTTGGCAGAAGCAAAAATATCTCATTCATCACACATACAACATACACACAAACATACATACATGGCATACAAACACATACACAAAACACACACATACATAAACTTTGCAAGTGCTAAAACAAAAAAAAAAAAAAAAAAAAAAAAAAGAGGCTCTCATTAGAAAATCTTTGAGACAACTTCAAGTCTTTAGTGTCAATCAATCACAAAAACATAATCAACAAAAAGAAAAGGGGAAAGAAAAAGTGTATATAAACAGTCCAAAGTCATAAGCTTATAACATAAAAGTCGACTTTGGACTTAAGAAGGTAAATATACTTCTATTATGTGATTAAGTTTAATATAATGTTATCTAAAATCCAGAATGTGAAGAAATTATTATATGTTTCAATAAGAACATCTAAGTCGAATAAAAAACAAAAAACACATTTGTTTTACATACCAACCATCTTCCAAGTGGAAAGCCAATTGGTACGGGCAACTAGGATCGAAATCAATAGAATGTATTTCCTGTGGGACAATATTGGATTGTGCCTGCAGAAAAAGTGACTTTAGATTAGAATATGGCCAAAAGCAAAATAGTAACAAAATATAACATTCTAAAAAAGAAGAGTAGATTCTTTTCGTATAATATGAAACCTGAAAAGCTTAAATTGAACGAAGAAGGATTTAATAAGCAATTAACAAGCTGTCCACAGCTATATAGATAATGTATGGATCAGGACTTTTAATAAGGACAACTCAAATCCAGAGATCAGCACAGTATGAAGCCTGAAATCAGCAAATCACTGAAACTACCACTACCATCCTTAATTAATAGAAAATTCACCAAATGCAACAAAACCAGCATCAGAGCAGTTATGCATACCTTAAAAGACCCAATTTTCTTTAGCATTGATGCTAACACCAATGCTGTTAGAGGTGGACAACCTACCTGAGAATGAACAGAAGATATGATTTAGTATAGAGGATCAAATAGAATATACCAAACAACGATAGACATTATTTGAAGCAACTACACAAGAATTTACTGAATGCATATCAAAATCTAATACAATAATCTAAGGATAAAATGGGCTCCGTTTAGTTCACATTTTTACGTTTTTGGGAAAAGTTTTTTTTAAAAAGTTAAAAAAAAGTTGAATTGGGCGGGTATTACGATGTAGAATTTACAAATTAAAAAATACCCCCTGTGTTTGTTTTTTTACAAAACACCCCTATAATAAAACATTAAAAGTTAACAAAAACACCCCCAATCCATCCATCAAATACGGACAGCCGGCCACCACCGTCGGAAGATGGTTGGAGTCGCCATATCGGCGCATGACCGGCTGAATCTTGCCGGTCGTGCGCCGATATGGCCTCTTCCGACCAGATCCAAGGTGGATCTGGCTGGCAAAGGCCAGATCTGGCCGTAGATCTTTGTTAACGACGGTCAAAGATGAGGCCGTCATTGATGCTCAACGACGACCATATGTTGGCTGTCATTGACTGGTTGAGGCCAAAGATGTGGCCGAAAAAGGCTAGATCGGCGCACTACCGGCCAAATTCAGCCGGTAGTACGCCATTATACCAAATTCTGGCCATCTTCCTGCAGTGGTGGTCGGAATCTGGTAAATGTGGATTGCTAAGGTGTTTTTGCAATTTTTAAAAAAATATTTAGGGGTATTTAATTAAATTAACAAATTTAGGGGGTTTAAAAAAAGTTGAATAATATTGTTAGGATTTAGAAATTTTACTGTTTAATTTTATTGGGAATACTAAAAGTAGTATTCCCAAACTTGAGCCAAACGAAGCCATAGACATTCACAAGAAGCAAAGCTATCACAAGACAATTTATATCAGGTAATTAGAGTAGTGTGAAGTGTGAACACTTTTTTTTGGCACAATAAACAATACAGATGATGACATGAAGGTCTCCCCGTTGGTTACTACTTGGTGGTATTTTAGCCTCCATTCAAGTTCCCACATCGCAAGATCAAGTAAGAAGACATATTTAAAAAATTATAGCCCGAACACTTACTTCATTGTGATTCTGAAAGGCAGAAGATGCTTTTCCTCCACGAAGATCCCACATATATATACTCCCATGCTTACCAGCCGCAAAAACAGTCTAAAGTAAATGAATTTATTAGAACAAGAGCTCCTAGAAAGAAATGAATGATAAATTAAGAAATAAGAAAAAGAACACTTTACTTCTAATTACACACACCAGCCCACACCTTATCCTTAGTGCAGTTAGTACAAGCTAGCTTTAGAATCACTACTTTGACAGGAACATGGTTAAGCATATATATAGGTCTACAACATTCAAATACCTTGTGAAATTTTTCCTTTATCCCCCTAACACTCTTTCCCTGGCCAATTCTCAAGCCAAAAATTGGAAAGCACCATTAGTGCAAGTTTAAACTATCCATCCCATACCATACTATAAGGATATGCTCAATTAATGAGCAACTGCAGCTTGTAAAATAATTCTTCTATCAGGCATGTATAAAAGGTGGCACACATGCAGTATAATGAATACCTAAAATGCAATGTAGTTCTGTGTTAATCACATAAAACAGTACAAAACTTATATTTTCAGAGATACACATAAGTGAAGCTTGAAATATATAGAAGACTGTTTTGAGTCAATTATTAACCTGATTATCTGCGTGTAGTTGGATGCTATTAAGAGTGCTACGAGAATTAGTTGTAAGCTCAAGACACGGAAGATCACTCATTCGTCTATCCCATATATTAAGTACCCCATGCGTATCAGAAGCAATTAGCCTATAAAAATGGACCATCAACAAGGAAATTCAATTATTAGCAGCTAGCTAATCATACACACTGCATCTCCAAAACAAAAAGAGAAAACAAATTGTCACATATGAAACCTCCAGCAAAATTTAAAAGAATAAGTTGAAACAAAAGTATGATTATCAACATTATAATCAGAATTTATAATCACAATCAGCTTCGTAATGTGAAAGCTAAAAAGTTGTAGCAACAGTTAATGAAAATGCTGAATGCTTATTTTTCTCGGGTACATCTGATTGCCTCGCCTCATTTTCAGTCACTGATTGTGGTACCCAGTCATTGCAAACGTTACATTTACAATTAGATTCCCATTTCTCAAGATGAAAGGAAAAAAATACTTGAAAGATGGATATTTAATTATATGGCATCACTTTCAACTGAAAACAAAAAGGGTACATGAGGATAAAACAAGGATTTAAAATGAAAAATCATAACTGAAATTGAACAATTTAAAGTTCATGATTCTCTTGTTTTATTCTTGTCCCACCCACAGTATCAAGGTTTAGACACATAAATGAAAGAGGTCAATAATTCACTAACCTTGACTCATCAGTTGCTGTAAAGGCAATATCAGATACACCTTTCTGGAAATAAGACCCAATAACACTGACATCACGCCTTGTTCTTAAGACCTGCATTAGAAGGAGAAAGTATTCACCAGCATAAACATGTAAATCAGGATGCTGTACCAGAATATGGATAAACTACAAGCTAAAAACTATTTAAATAAAGCAATGAAAGTCTGTATACCACAATTCTTTGCATTAAAAAGTTTTGCCAACGCCAACTCTTTGTTTTAAATCAAAATCCTTTTGAATGACTGAAAAAAAAGGCATTAAAATATTCTTTTACTGATCAGGCATATGTTGTAAGCTATTACAATACTGGAAGTTGATAGCAATCGATGGAATAACGCAATCAGAAGTTACTTTATTGAAGTGGATATTAAATATTTATTGCTGTCAATATGCAGCAAACCAAATAAAAGATTAGAATTGTGAAAAGAAAAACTTACTTCAATTGGTTCAGATGTGATGTAACCAATATGAAATATACGTACTTCATTACTTTTAGTAGATGCACAAGCGACCTATGTAAGTAAATAATATTAAAACACGTTTAGTGTAGAAATCCAAGAGAAAATAAATACGTCAAACTAAAACAGCAAATCACTAGTACAACGAGTACATGCATTCAAAAAACTAAGAAATGACTAAAGATATATGAAGGATTATTGGTACTAACAAAAAAAGAGCACATATACTTACTACTGAACCACAACAAAAATTTTAAAATAAAATGCCTGACCGAAATGACATTAGATTACTAGATTTCTCTACAAAATCACCATGAGCAAATTACCATGCTTATTGTCTAAGCTTAAATATCATTAATAGAAAATTACTAATCAGTTTAAATTTTTTAGTCAAGCAGTACTCAACATGGTATCACAGCCAACAACTAATTTGATCAAGTGGTCTTGTGTTCAAAACTTGCATTATTTAAATTACAATAACTTCATGCCAGTTTCCTCTTTGCAAATTCCATGCTTAAATCATTTATTTGATTAAACTTAATAGATTCAGAAACCTTTTGACAATTGAAAAAATGTTGTGCAGACATGATCAAACAAATAAAGCAGTTAATACATAGTCATATAACTTATGCCAAAAGAAAATAGAAAGAAAGAATAGGGAAATTTCATAAACCAATAAAGGTTATAGCCAGAGAAATCCGTATGAAATTTCTCCTCACAAAGACAATTTGTTAGAAAACACTATGAAAGGCAAAACCTTGATGTTTCACATTTACACTGAAGAAGATGCTCACTGAAGTCAAGAAGATAAAATAAGTCTATTTAAAGCTTTAGAAAAATGCAAAATAATTAGTCCATTATAAAATTTATTAATGAGATAAAATGTAATTTAATAGTTTTTTCTGGAGACTCTTAGAGATTATCTGCATGCTCTTCTCTCTTTATTCTAACTACTGGTACAAGTCCAACATATATTCATCTACTTGTGAGAAACTTCCTTCAAGGTTCAAAAACTTTGTCGTTTATCTAAGTAAAACTGGCCACAATCATTGCTAAACAATGGTAAGAATAAGCTAAATTCTAGACCAACATGTTTGGTCCTTTTGTTTAATTGATAAATTGTCCATAGTATCATTGCAACTCAAAGTGGTATATATGTTCCATTATCTGACATATAAGAACTTTTTAACATATACTAATCCAAACCTCATCTTGATTAGCCAAATTCCATCGAACAGCATCGAGTTGTTGATGCAAAGAAATGTGCAGTAAGTGTTTATTTTCATCATCCCTCAGGCCTACTCCAAATGAGATGATAACTCAAATTAGAGCGCAAAAGACATAAAATGAAACCTGGTAACACTTTATATAGACCGTATATAACAAAAGACAAGTATGTATATCTGGAATTTAAAATGTGAAAAATGAATATCCAATACTATATGAGCAGGGGAAATGTTGAAAACTTGCATGTTAAACATTTTTTATGTTCAATTTGGGTAACAAACAAAAGTTTGGCCAAAGCATAAGGAGCACAAGCCATGATCTTTAAGCACATGCACAATAATTTTGACAGACCAAGGGTAAAATATTTTGTTAAAAGGTAATACAAAGCATCATATTCTTAGAAAACCAAACAAGACCCGAACCCTGACAAGTAGCTTGTTCTCCTCATACATGATAGAGTATTTACTCGTAAAACAAAAGAAGAATCTTCAATGGAGTTTCAATTGATCAGCAAGTTATCCAGGGAGCAGAGCCAATATAATTCTCATGTATCAAGATTAAACGGAGAACCTTACATGGCAAAGTGTCATTAGTCAGACAATATAGAGCTTCATAGTCATGCACTGTTAGGCAACCCGATCTCGTAACTGATGCCAAGTAAACTCCCTGGAACAATAACAAATATCTGCTAAAAGTTTCAAGGTAAAAAAAGCAAGAGAAATGACCAGGCTTAGAAACAAAAACAGGAAACAAAAAGCATAATTGAGACCATAGCAAACAAGAGAAGAAAGCTTAAATGTAAAGGTTTCAAGTAAGTGCAATTCTCCTAAACTAATTTAATGGGAAAATAACAAGATTTAAAAGTCACAGGTTTTTGGACTCACCTTCGTGTCAAAGTCCAGTGCGGAGATGCCTTGTCTGATTCAAAAAAAAAAAAGAAAGAAAAAAAATTATAATGATTAATTACTTATAAATAGACATCCTTACCAGAATCATGAACAAAACAACAGAAAGAAACTGAAATACTGACTTTCTTGGTAGTCCGTGGAAATAGACAGCTGCACCATTTCTGACACCAACATTACTCATCTGTAAAACATCAGAAACTCTACTAAACACAGGCTTATTGATAGAAGATCCTTGTATGCAAGAAGATGAGAAATTGAGAAGCTTTGAAGAAATGCAAACCAAAAAAGCCCATTAACCAAACAAGTAAATAATCAAATACTGTACTGAGTTGAGATAATCCTTACAAAAGTTCGACACTGCTGTCCATTAAAATGATACATATGTGGAAATTTCCCAATCTTTCAAAACAGAAACAATTGTCTTAGAATCACTGAACAACGAATTCACAAAATCACAAAACGAAACAGCTATTAGAAGTTCAAACACCTCACAGTACGACTCCATGAGCAAGTAGGAAAGATCGTGGCGATACTTGGGCTCAACCCTGCCGTTCAATTCAATTACGCTCCTCTTCCATCGATTCCTTTATAACAACACATCTAATTCAACAAAAGAACTGATATGGCAAGCAATCAAGCAGCAAATTGAATATTTTACCTCACATTGAGCTGTTTAGGGTTTTCAGGAGGAGGCTTGTACGGAACCAAGTAACTCTCCATTTTAGCAGAATAATAGTTCCTTCTTCAATTTTCTAGGTGGCATTTATAGCGCCATCAAGTTTCCCGCCATTTTCAACCTAGGTGATTTGCACATGGTGCCCACAGTCCAATAACAACTGAGCAAATGTCATGGATCGGGCTCAACTGAGTCCAACAGTAGACCCGGCCCAACCAATATAAATGCTGAATCGGGTTCAAGCTATATAACAAAACAAATCATTGAAAATCCACAGGTCATTTTTAGCATGAAGATCTGAATTAGAATGTAAAAGCAGAGTTTAACAGAATCCATTTTCATTTCAATTGAAATTGAACCAATTCAAGATTCAGCATTACAGAGCAGAAATTTACACGATTTCAAATAAACGGCAGATATAGATCAAGAAAAGCACTAACCTAAAACAGTACTTAGTTTTACACAAAACAAAATTACTAATACTAAAACTAGCACATAATACTTCACCCAAGCAAAAAAATCAATTATTCTAAGCTCTCTCGCCTCTAATTCTCCTAGCAAGCTGAATATCTTTAGGCATGATTGTGACTCTCTTGGCATGAATTGCACAGAGATTGGTGTCCTCAAAAAGACCGACGAGATAAGCCTCAGCAGCTTCTTGAAGAGCCGCGACGGCGCTGCTTTGGAACCTTAAATCGGTCTTGAAATCCTGAGCGATTTCTCTCACCAGCCTCTGGAATGGAAGCTTGCGGATAAGAAGCTCCGTGCTCTTCTGGTACTTTCTGATCTCTCTCAAGGCTACAGTTCCTGGCCTGAAACGGTGAGGCTTCTTGACTCCCCCCGTCGCCGGAGCTGATTTGCGAGCCGCCTTGGTGGCTAGCTGCTTACGTGGCGCCTTGCCTCCGGTGGACTTTCTAGCAGTTTGCTTCGTGCGAGCCATGTCCTGGATTGGAAATTGAAAGAGTGTTTGTACCTCGAGAAAATAGAGAGATATTTTGAAGTGAAAGCGATGAAGAGGGAGTGAATATTAGAGGCATTTATAGGGGCGAATGTGGACAAGGAGGGAACTTTGAAATATTAGCGTTTTCTCAGAAATTTGAACGAGTGAAAACGAACCGTAGATTAGAGGCTAATCGACGGTCGAAAGTTATTGGCGCACGCTGACCTGGCAATCCCCGTGAAAAGGATGACCCATTAGATTGGTTTCTCTTAGGCTGGATTTGACCGTGGATTCGTGAGTGGATCGACGGTCAGGAATTCTTAAGGAGGAGTGCCGCGGATCGCAATACGTGTACTATTTGAGTAGAGATGGGAGTATGGGACACCATTTTCCTCTTTTATCTTAATAAATATAATTAAGGGATTATGATTTTTAAATTGTAATAAAATAACTGAAAAATAAATAAATTAAATGATTAATATGCAAGTTATCCAAATATCTTGAATTTAATTAATTGATTCTTGTTTTACTAAAAAAAAATTAATTAGTAGTAACAAATTACATACAGCAATTTTATATAAATGATGAAAATCGCAATTTGTAAACATTATATAAAATATATAAAATTTCTCTTATTCTTTAACTTTTCTCTTATGTCTCTAATATGTTAAGTATTTCTGATTACTTTCTCGTCAACATTTAATATTATTCACAAATATAGACATCTAAAAGTTTTTTTCATGTGGATCCTAGATTAGTATTATTTTAATAGTTGTTCGTTGTTTTTATTTTGTATTTTATGAAGTTATTGACCAATCGTTAACCTTTAATTTGCATGTTCAAAACTTCATGGTTTGGACGTTGAAGATTACTATATATTTCAATATTAATTATTTTTGGCTTTTAAATATCTTATGTAAATATGCCTATAAAAAATTTTAACCGTTGAGATATAATATTGGCTATGTTTGGCTTAGTATTTTTATCTATATTCTGGATCCTATTCTCCAAATAATGTTTGACACATTATTTCATAAATATTACCCTATTTTTTTAATTACTTTTAGATCCCCTAAGGTTATTAATTTCACTAAATACCTCCTGAAAAAAAGTTTAAAAATTAACAAAAACACCCCCATCAACCTAACTTGTCAGATTCCAGCAACCACCGTCGGTGATAGCCGGAATCTGTACAACGACCTAACTTTCGACCAGAAATGGTCGGAAGTTCACCAATGTGGCCTTTTCCGGCTAGATCCACCACGGATCTGGCCGAAAAAGGCCAGATCTGGCCTTCAGCGACGGCCAAAGAAATGGCCATCGTTGACCAAAAACGACGGCCACATCTTTGGCATGGCCATCAGTTGGCCCTTTTCCGCCGTCGATGGCCATAACGGACTGTAGATCTGGCCTTTTCCGGCCAAATCCACCATGGATCTGGCCGGAAAAGGCCATAACGACGTGTTACGGCACAGACCGACCGTCTATGCCGTAACAAAAATTTCTGACCAGATTTCGACGGTGGTGGCCGAATCTGGCACTACAGTGGGTGGGGGTGTTTTGTCATTTTATATGTTAAGGTCTTTATTAAATTAGTAAACCTAAGGGTCGAAAAGGCCATAACGACGTGTTACGGCACAGATCCGACCGGTCTATGCCGTACAAAAATTTCTGACCAGATTTCGACGGTGGTGGCCGGAATCGGCCTACAGGTGGTGGGGGTTTTTTGTCATTATGTTAAGGTCTTTAATTAAATTAGTAAACCTAAGGTTTTTTTTATAATTTTAAAATTACCTCGTAATACTCCCCTATCCAATGACCCAATACTATCCTCAAAATCCTATCCAAAATACTAAACCAAAGCACCCATTATATTTCTCCCACGTAGTTGTATAGGTTTTTACCTCCCAATGTATTTTTTTCAAAGTTCCCTCTTTTTCTACTGACTTCATGGTTTTTTTTATTATTATTAAAAACTACCGCATAAATCAACAAAGTGTCCTTTCCCATCAAACTAGAATTCAACAATTGTTAGCTATTATTATAATCCATTATGTAATATGCAACAACTCGAGGTTCTACTTATTAGAAATTATCTACTGTGGACATAAATTAAGTCTTTACCGTTTTGCCTTCGGGCTATACAATAAAAAAACACATCCAATAAGTACCCGTTATATACACCAGCCCAGGCTTTTCCCTAGCAATGTGAGACTCTTGCTCATCGTTTGTTCTCTTACACTTAGTGTTCACATTGTTCACATAGGAATGACTCATGACTTAACATTTCTCTTTCTTAGTATTTTATTAAAATAATTCTATGCCATTAAAGCTTAAAAGAGCGAACCACGTATATTTTGTGTTATTTCAATTTCCGCACTTAATTTCTCTTGTTTATGGTTGATTGATAGTTAAATCACTAAAATTGCTTGATGGTTGTTTTTTCCATTGTGGTTATTTTGACATCAAATTAGTGTTGGATTATATCAAATTTACAACAAAACTACATATATAAACTTGTATACAAATTGATATAGTTGTTTGATTGACATATTATTCATTTACATTTATCGGGCAATTATGAAAAGAACGAAGCATGTATAATCATTCATTCATTTGTACCACATCAGTTTTGTATAAAGAGTTTGTAAATCTAATTATTCATCATAAAATAATATCTTTTAACTTCATAAACTAACTATTTATTTCCCTTGAATTTCACCAATATTACATATTAAATATACAATTGAATCTATATATGAAGCGGTCTAGTGAGTATTTGGAATCAAAAGCACGCCAATCACACACAAATAAAGAAATATTAAAGAAAACAAACACGCACAATTTATATGGTTCACCCAAAAGGGTGTTACGTCTAATAGAGTCAGTATTATTTTAATATTTATTCATATCTATTGTTACAATAAATGTACTTGTTATTAATTGTTGTGGCACTCATACAAGAGAATAATGTATTTACATACTAGGTTTATTAAGAAAATAATAGTGTTAGACATACAAATTTTTTTTACAAAGATTTATATACAAAGTAATGTGGCAAAAAATGAATAAAAGAATGAATACAAAAAGTCAAACTCATCATATTCGCTATTCTATACATTTTATGCCACATCACTTTGTATAAAATTTTTTGTAAAATTTTATGTACGTGTAGTATTACTCTTAAAACGAACCTTAAACTATTAGGATTCCTATTCCTAAGACAAACTCTATTAAGAGTTTTATTCCTTAAAGAAAGGGAGAACGACATGTTCCCACCCAAGGTTTGATGAAATGACACTTTCCTACCCACTGTTATGTTCTGTTAAGAAAATCTATTACTATTTGACTGTAAAGACAAAAACATCCTTTATTATTTGACTTAATAATTTTTTTATTATTTTATGTCATATCAACAAAGTCAATTATCAATATACCTCTCTTTAAATATGAAATTACTATTATGGGTCAACTATATATCAAATTTGTCCCTCCAATTTTTTATTAAAAATAATGTTTTAAATCAATGAAATTACGTTAGATTTTTTAAATTTGAAACCTTTAAAATTACTAGTTTGTCCCTATAGTTGTTACAATTAAACTGACATTTATATTTAAATTTTGTCAATTTAGACACAAATAAAATTAAGTAATTGCATTACTGATTTTTTTAGGTAATTGGTAATATTGTAAGGACAAAGAATAAGCCATCCGAGGATGACCCCTCATCAACGCGTCCCAAATGAAAAGGAAACCCTAACAAGAAGGAGAAAAACCTTTACAAAGGCACAAAATGCCAGCAAAGACGAGCAATCACGCACCAGCAACAACCTAGCACCTGGAGAACTCACAACAGTAGCATTAAAAGGCTAAAAAAAAACCCCACACCAGCAAGATCATCACACACCACCACAACAACCCACATGGCAGCAAGAAAATAACAACCACACGGCAGTAGCAACTTAGCATTACTAATTTGCTTAAATAAGAATCAAATTGTAAATTTACAATGCATATATATAACAAATTTTGTCAATTCAAACCTAATAAAAACAGGGAATTCAATACAAGGAAAGCAACTTTTCCAGTTTCTCATTCATTTCTTAAAATCCAAAAAGTTTTGCTTCCACCCTCCCACTTTCTAGCTCCTTGAAGTTTGTTTTTCTTTTTGGATCTTCAGAACCTTCTTCACAATCTTTTGCTCTTCCACCAAGAAACCTCGAATTTGATGTATTATTTTCAGCCAAAGTTACCATCTCTAATACCTCTGCAACTGCCTCAAGAGGGTAATCTCCATTTAATTTAGTGTCAACGCATTGCTTCACCTTGTCTTCACTGAGTTTTGGAGTTGCCTGAAACAATCCAAAATTGCATAAAAAATAGCTTGATTGAGGCTTTCATCACACGCCAAATAAATGACTAGAAGCAATAAGCGAAATTCACCACCCACTTTCATCACACAACTTCAGCCAAAAAGCACTATACCGAGTAAGTAAAATCTAATAGAGAATGACATGAAAGATATGTTCAAAGTCTATGATAGACAGTCTTCGTGAACAAACCTCTAGAACCCAAATGAGGATTCCAACTTTACATAACCAAAGCAACCATAAGAATTCTGTGACATTAAAAGAAAAATATCACTCAGCAATTTACCTTCTTATGGCAATTGTGTTGGGCTAAAAATCATCACATTGGAGCACCGCATATTATCCTCTGACGGTGAAGCACTTATCTTGGGAGCTGTATCCAAAAACCACAAAATCAACTCCATTGAAACCCAACCAAGCAAACCTAAACGCACATAACTCAAAAATAAATAAATAAAACAAGCGGAGAATTAATCAAGTATTCACCTGGTTCATTAAGGAGAAGTTGAGTTTCTTGTTTGGATCAACAAAAAACAAGTTCAAAACACAACACAAAATCATCAACAACAAAATCCTAATTTCAGCGTCCAATCGACAACAAAGATCTCAATAAATTAAACTCCCTATATTACACAACCAATCCAATCAATAAGAGAGAGAATCGGAGGAAATTAGAGCATCAAACTGAAAGAACAAGTAATCCTTCCTATACAGA